AGTAGTCCATTACATTCATATACCACAACTTGTTCAGCCATTCCCCAATTGATGGGCATTCCCTCAATTTCCAATTCTTGGCCACCATAAAAAGAACTGCTATAAATATTTTTGTACATGTGGGTCCTTTTCCCATTTGTATGATCTCTTTGGGATACAGCCCTGGAAGTGCTATTGCTGGGTCAAAGGGTATGCACATTTTATAGCCCTTTGGGCATAGTTCCAAATTGCTCTCCAAAATGTTTGGATCATTTCACAACTCCACCAACAATGCATTAGCACACGCACCCTTCTTATAGACCCAAGTGCCTGCTTTTCCTTCATCCCAGCCCACTAATTCTTTCCCCTCTCAGGCTCTGCTTCCCCCAGAGACTTATATATCTGATACCCTAGCTTTCTTCAAGTTCATTTCCACATTTCAATCTCTCTACTGAATGAGCTTTCTCCCCTGAAGCCTCTGACTTGCTACCCCCTCAGCCTTACGAACTCCCTGATGGCTCCGTCGTAATTAATACTCGAAACCAGAATAACTACCATTGTCACTGCCGCATCATCCTCCGAAGCTATGATGCATGTGAAACCCTCAAGCTCCAGGACATAACCTTTGACGAAGAACTCATCGACCCTGTTGTAGCTGCAGGTGCTGCGGCCACCAGCTCTGGTCTGGTCTTCTTCTCAAATCCAGCTCATCCAGAATATCGTAAGTCTCTGGGATGGGCCGGGGAATGCTTTCCTTGGCCTCAGAGTCCTTTCTGACCTTTTTTCTCTCCTTCCCTCCCCTCTCCCACATGCCATTACATCCACCTTGCCTTCATCCTGATTCAAGCCTTCATCTACTCTTACTACTCTCATCTCTCATCGAAATGGCTTCCTAACAGGTCTTTTTGCTTCCATCTTTTCTGCAATCTGTCCTTTACACAGTGGTTAAAATAATTTTCATGATATATAGCTTTAATGAGAGGTAGTCTGGTGTGGTAGATGAAGCTGGCCTGGGTTTAAGCCCTGCCTTGGACACACTGACTGGGCAAATCTCTTGAACTAACAACTTTCTGCAGCTCTCAAGTAGCAGAAGAGTTGCTGATTTGCATTGGCAGAAGGAATTTCCTCAGTGAGAGTTACCCCCATTCCCCCATTGAAAATACAGATCCAGACCAAAAATAAAAGAACACCTACCCACCTCATTAGCAGCAGCCAGGTGACTTGGTAAATAGAGTGCTAGACCTGTGGTCAGGAAGTCCTTAGTTAAAATCCACCCTTAACACTTACTAGCTATACGGGCAAGTCACTCCACCTCTATCTGTCTCAGTTTCCTCATCTGTGAAATGAAGGTAACAATAGCACTTAACCAGAGTTGTTGTGAAGATAAAATGAGTTAATATTTTTAAAGTACTTTGCAAACTTTAAACTGCTATATATATATGCTAGCTATTGTTATTATCCTGTTTATAAATTTTGAGTGATTTCACACTGCTTACTAAATAAAATACAAACTCTTTAATCAAGGCCTTTCTTTTTATAGCTTTCTCTCCCACAGTTCCCTATTCATCTACTCTGTGGTCCAGAAAGACCATGGTACTCACCATTTCTGAATTTCATCTTGCGCTGTCCTGGTTCTTTGTATTCACACAAATTCATCGGACATCTCTACCTGTTAACATTCTCTTCTTCCTTCAACAGCTACTTCAAACACCACCCATTCCATGAAGTCTGTCTTTATTTCCCTGCCCCCTCTAATCACTCAGTTGAAAGTGATCTTTCCCTCCCCATTTTCTTCTGTCTCTTTATCTTGACTTCTCCTTTCTCCCTTCACATTCTGTCTTTTCATTGTGCTTGTTTGTTTAGATGTGTTACATCCCCTCTATTAGACTGTATGCTCCCTGAGATAAGGGACTGTCATTTTTTGTTTTGGTATTCCCCATGCCTTCCAGTTCAACAGACATTTATTAAGTCTTTCTTGTTTCATCTTTCTCTCTAGGGGTAAATCTGACTATACGCTGGAGCTTCAGCAATGGTACTTCATGGAGGAAAGACACGATTCAGCTGTGGCCAGGTCCCAGTGGTTACTCATCCTTGACAGTTCTGGAGGGAGCTCAGACTTGGGGGGACGGGACCCCCCAGCTCTATGTCTTGTATGAAAAGGGTCGGAATAATTACTTCGAGAGTATCTCTCTGGCCAAGATCAGTGTCTATGGCACTCTCTGAGCCTTACCCCACAGAGAGGATGAGAAGATATGAGGGGTGCCAGGGGCACCTCAGACTTTGTCTTTTAGGACTCTACTGATCCATTGTTGTAGATTTATGACTCTTTCCCAAGAAGTCATGATTTTTGGAATATTCATCTTCCCTTTGATAGGGAGATACCTCCTTTAAGACTTTTTGTCTTATCTCCTCTGACAAACACTAGGCCCTTTTCCCCCTGAGCCTTCATTTCTTTTTCAGTTATAATGCCTTTTTTCACTTAGGAGATGGGGCCCCATTTTTCTCCCTACTTCCTCTAGATCCTAATAATCTCTCTTTTAGGGCAGTAGACTGCCCTTGCTCCTAACTCTACTGATTCCCCCTTCCCCATCCCTATCCCTCTTTATGGTGGGGGATGAATTTGCACAAACCTGAGCTCAGGGACTTCTGGTTGGGAGGGGTGCTGAAATTTAGAGTGGGAGTGAAGGTTGTTGGGGGATGGTAGGAGATTTTGGATGAGGAAAGGACACTTTGGACTGTTTACAGATCAATAAGTTAATCAGTTAAATTAGTACTTCTAATGAAGGAAAATAAGAATTTGCCAATGTCTATTTATTAAAGCTGTGGTCTCAATTTCTGTATGTCTTTGGGTTTCCTAAATACAGCCATGAAAGAGAAAATGAGATTAGGGAAGAGAGAGCTGTCGTAGAGGAAAGAGCAAAAGGCTTGGGTTTGAGTCCTGGCACTGCTATTGACTAGCTGTGGTCCTTGACCAAGTTCCTTAATTGCTCTGAGCCTTAGTATCAAGGAATCTTAAGTGTTTGAAACCACAGAGGTCATCTAATTCAACGTCTATCCAAAGCATGAATCCCCTCTGTTGGCATTCCTGCTAAATAATGATCCAGCCTAATTACCTTTTTTTTTAACATCACCTTAATTTCCAAATATACCCCTTCTCCCACCCCTACCCAACAAGCTATTTCTTGTAAAAAGAAGAAAATAAAAGGTAGTTCAGCAAAAATACCCAATGCATCAACCACATTTGATAGCACAGACAGTAGACAGTGTTCCATACCTATAGAGGTTCCCCACCTCTGGGAGGGTGAGGGAGGTACATGTTCTCACATCTTCTCCAGGGCTAAGCTTGGTCATTAGAATTAGACAGCACTCAGTTCTGTATTTTGTTTTTTCCATTCACATGTTTGTAGTCATTACACATAATGTTTTCCTGCTTCTGCTATCCTACCTCAGTTTAGTCTTCCAATGTTTCTCTGAATTCTTCACATCATTTATTGTGGCCTAGTAATATTCCAGCTTGTTCGTGTACCATAATTTATTTAGCCATTCTCTGCTCAATATTTATTTTGCTTCCAGTTCTTCTCTAAACTCAAAAAGTATCACTGAATATTTTGGTGTATGTGGGACCTTTTGTTTTGTTTTTGACCTCCTTGGAGTAAATGCCTAGCTGTTTTTCTCTGTTTCACAAGGTATGAACATTGTAGTCAGTTGTTTGGGTTTTGTTTGGTTTTTTTTTTTGTAGCGTAATTCCAAATTGCTCTTCAGAATGGTTTTTACCAATTTGCAGCTTAATTTAGCAGCATATTAGTGTACCTGTCTTATAGCCCCTCTGCCTAATCCCATCTTTTGTCATCTTTGCCAATTTGCTGAATATAAAGTGAAACCTCAAAGTTATTTTTGATTGCACTTATCTTATCGTTAGTGATTTCAATCAATCCTTCATAATGTGTGAAACAATATCCTGTAATACGTGGTATAGGCACAGGCCTGCCAGAAACTATTAACTTTGATTGTTAATCCAAGCATTACTTCTTTTTTTTAATTAATTTATTTTGATTTATCAACAATCACTTCCATATGCTTTTGAGTTTAAAATTTTTCTCCCCCTCCCTCCCCACCACTTTCACCAAAACGGTGCACAATCTGATATAGGCTATACATATACATTCCTACATATACATATTTTCACATTAGTAATGTTGTAAGTAAGAATTAGAACCAATAGGAGGAACCACCAGAAAGAGGAAACAAAACTCAACAGAAGAAAAAAATTAGCAAATAGTATGTTTCAATCTGCATTCAAACTCCATAGTTCTTTCTTTGGATATGGATAGCGTTTTCCATCATGAGACCTTTGGAGATGTCTTAGATCCTTGTATTGCTGGGAAGGGCTAAGTCTATCAATGCTGGTCATCTCACAACATGGCTGTTACTGTGTATAACATTCTTCTGGTTCTGCGCACTTCACTCAGCATCAGTCCATACAAGTCTTTCCAGGTTTTTCTGAAGTCTGCCTGCTCATCATTTCTTATAGCACAATAGTAGTCCATTACATTCATATACCACAACTTGTTCAGCCATTCCCCA